GTGTTAGCAATCAGGAGCACCATCAGGATGTAGCTTCCAGGTTTTTTCCAGGATTCTCCTCTTGTTCTGCTTTAGTAAGCTGTAAGGAAGTCCATAAGCCATGCCATGGTGAGTGTAGCATGTTCAAAGAAGGTCTGTTGAGCTGTCTTTTCTGCTGGGACTAGGATGAACCATGATCCAGACTGTGGTTTTGTTGGTCCATGTGGTGACCTGGGCACCAGTCCTTGTCCTCTGAGCCTTCCTGTGTTTGGATTTCCTGAGAATGTTAAGACTCTGCAGCCCTGGCATGGGAAGATAGGATGCTTATAATATCACTGTCCAGTGTGCACCAGTGGCCCAGTTTTTAGTGTGTGGTGTGTAGCAATAACACCCATGCTAGCACCATCTGTTCACCATGTCTGTGCAAGGGGCTGTGGATCGAAAAACAGACACAAGAGACAGCAAGTCATTCGTCTCAGCAGAATGCCAAATGCTATTTATTGAAGGAGGGAAGAAACCTTAAATACAGGTTTACGGCACAATGGGAGAAGCCCAGGGAGCAGAAGTTTGCTACTGATGTTTACAATCTTGCATCTAAGCTGTTAATGCCCAATATGCAGGTTACACAAACAAGGAACTTCTCTTAAGCATGCAGGAGCATGGAAACCTGCAGGGAATTAGCATGGGGAGGACATCAAGGTCAAGGTCAGCAAGCAAGGCAACAGCTACCCAAACCGGGGGGCCAGGGCCTTACAGTGGTGGGAAGACAGATTAGAAAAATGAAGGTCTGGTGTCTTGGCATGCTGTATATTGCATTCCACCTCAGGTTTTATAAATATTGTGGTATAAATATTACAAATAGTTTAGAAACTGGTAAAAATGTGGTGATATAGATTGTGTTTCAGCAATATATGATTAGAATGCTTCTAACTTTGCTACAACCAGCAACAATGGTATGATTTGGTGAAGTTTAGTTCCAGAGGACAAAGGCAGTTTCTGATCTGCAGAAATTTCTCAGATGTGCATTGTGTTGTGTGGGTGGATAGGGCAGAAACCACATCTTATGCCATAATTCATGTGAAAGGAAGCATTCATAACTAATAATAAGGTTTTCTGTCATGCTTTGTGAGCTGGTTCGTCGCCTAAATGAAAGCCTGCTATATACCCCCACTCACTCTGTTTCAAAGTGGTTTTCTCTTTAGATATTACTATTGCATATATGTTTATATGTCTATTAACATAAATAAATATGAGCTGCTGAGTCATTTTTTATTTTTTCTATTTATATGATTTCAGTGCAGTCCACTTTGTTTTGGATAAACAACTAGGAGGCACATCCCTGGGAAATACAATTCTGCCTCTCAATAGTCATTAGTTTCCATAGTTCTTGGTCTAGGGTTCATTAGATCCCTTCAAACCTTCTGTGTTACTATGTCTACTGGCCATGTGTTTTCTTCCACATGAGATCTTCTTGCAGGGCTCAGGGTCTGTCTACTTTGTCAGCTATGCCTTTGGGTTCCCAGCTCCTATATGAATGCAGCTATGGAGTAGTTCTCCTCTTCCAGAGCCCTGTGGTTGTAGTGGATGGGCAGCCCTGCTTTCTCTTCTGGCCTTGATCTTAGAGCAGCTCTCCACTTTAGCTGCCAAGCCCCCACATTTTGCAACTTACCAAAAAAATGATGTCACCACAGGATTCCCATATCCTCTGAGTCAGACTAAAAATAATGTTTGGAAGGGTATTGCCAGGGAGGAGGAATGTCTGTGAGCATGTTCTGTGGGTGTGTCTGTGAGGGACTGGCCTGGGGGATGCATCTGGAGATTGCAGTGAGGAGAGGACGGGAGGAATTTCTGTTGAGATTGTCTCAGGGATAAGATATGGTTAGTAGGTGATTTGTGGGCTTGGCCCAGGGAAGTAGGAATGCAGGGCTGCAAAAGTTCACAGGCCTTGTGCTCCAACACTGCTCTTCTCTGCCTATCTCAAATATCTGTGGAGCTGAAGGATGTGTTCAAGAAGTGTTACCTGGCCTGATCATTTGCAGCCCTGGAACTAGTCCTTGGAAACCCCTGGACCTGGATCTAGCTGGACAAGGACTCAACCAAGGCTGATGATGAAACCCAGAGATGTGAAGTTCCCAATTATGCTGTTGTAGTTGCTAGAAGTAGCTGGGTGCTGGGAACAATGCAAAAACAGCTTGCCATGGTCATAGAGGTGAGAACCTGATTCAGGAAAAGTGAGACAGAAATCCACCTATCTTTTTAAAGGATTTTCCTGCCACCAGGTTGTCTTCTGATTCTTTAGTCTATAAGCCAATCTGCAGACCCTTGTTTGAGTCCATATGCCTTCCAAATACTTCTTTTGACCAACTGCCATACTTAGCATTCCAGGAGCCCCCATTGCCTCTCAGACTTCAGATATTGCTACAGTCTTGGATGTTCCTGAAACAGCATGTGAGATCCTCATAGGTGAGCTCCTTTGTAAAACTGGAAATTATATAAGGCAAATAATTTCATTTCTGTTTTGAGGCATTTGCTATTTTGTATTTGAAACTTATGCTATGTTGTCTATTATGAGAATTATGGAGCTTGTTGATATTATAAATTATTGCTGTTTTTATAGATTGTGGTTTTGGTCTGTTGGAAAGAGTTGTTGTAATTACATTCAGAATGGCAAAACCTGTCAAACAACTGACAACAAAGGCTGGAGAAGAACTGGGGAAAAGAGTAATGTCATGAGCAAGAAAGATATGTGTAGTTAGGGTGACAAAAATTATATTTTATGATGCTGATGGTCATCACACAAAGTTCATACTCCTAATTTCTAACTAATGTCCTAAGACTCCTTCCTCAAGGCTGCTCACCTGTTCTAAGTATGTTTGCTGAAGGTCAGATCTAGTCTCTAACAGACATCTGTTTTGAGGGTTGGCATTCTGGGGGAGACTTTTCACATGTAGGGTATAATATGGTGGTGTCTCTCCAGATGTATAGACCAGAACATTACACTTGTTTTCTGCTTATATACTGTCAAGTGTGTGTACTGGGGATCAGGGCCTGGGTCTCCTTTTCATTAGTGAGTGATGTCACTGGGTTCTACTTATCAGGTATAGCTTTGGGTACAGTGAAGTTATTGACTAAGCTATTTTTACTTGTTTAAAAGATCTTTCTTATGATGCTCATTCCAATTAGGCTTCTGATTCACATATACATTTGACCATGAATGACAAATATACCAGGATTCCTTGGAATTAATAATGGTATAGCTCTTCATTATGTACCTAAAATTGAGAAAAATAAAGGCTTAACCTGTAAAAGTTATTGGCAGCAAAGTTATTAAAACAGTCATCTCAAAAAAAAAGCCAGTCATCTCAAAAAACATAATTGATATTGAAGACATGCACAACTAGACTCCCTGTTCACTCTGAGGACAAGGAGCAACCTTGTCATTATTTCCACATTAGATTAAATGTAAGCTAAATATTTCACTGAATCTATCATAAGGCATTAGGTAGGCCCTACTAAAAATTTCAAGGTCTAATAAATCATGGTATAGAAACAAACTTATATTTTAGTCTTTCTCAATAGAATGGGTTCATTTTTTTCTCACACAGGACATATCATACTTCTTTGTGAACATTAATACTTAGTACCCGTAGTAGTCTGGATGAAATTTTCCCCCGTAAAGTCATAGGGATTGGCACTATTAGAAGGTGATGCTTTGTTGGAGGTAGTGTGTCACTGTGGAGGTGGGATTTTTGGTCTCATGTATGTTTAAACCATGTCCAGTGTCCCAGATTACCTGTAGATCATGGTGTAAATCCCTAGCACCTTCTTCAGCACCATGTCTGCCTATATGCTGCAATGTTCACATTGATGATAATGGACTAAACTTCTGAAAATGTAAGCCACCCAATTAAATAGTTTTCCTTTGTAAGAGTTACCATGTTGCTGGTATCTCCTCGCCACAATAGAAACCCTAACTTAGGCAGTACATGATTCATTACTCTTTAGAGAGGAAATACTATGAGAAACACTGTAATTTTAGTTTGTATAGAATCATATTATCTATAGGCTTATGTAGTTTCTCTTCATGTTTTATTAATATAAATCCTAGTAATCCACTATAGTCATTCTTTATTTCATGTAACAAAGAACCACAGGTACTTAACTCAAAAGTTGATAGCACAATAAATAACAGTAAAATTATGTATCAACAATCTTATTTTGATTCCAGTAAAATTAAAGATAGAGTGATATTCCAAAAATTTCAATAAAATACTTGGAACATTTTCAACTATTTTAGAAAAATATTCTTAAAAATTCATTGGGTTACTGGTAGCTGGAATGTTTACTTTTATAGGTATTGTTTGAGTTTCCACAGTTAGAGCCTTAGCATTAAAACAAAATCTGTAAATAGCTCAATTTACAAATAAATTAGTTAAAATGTTTCTAAATTAGAAGAAGTTTAAGGAAAGATGGATATTAATTTCGTATATGGATTGGATGAAGGGGAAACAACCTAGGAATGTAAACAGTATAAATTTTCTCCCACTTCCAAATCTACTGAAGTTTAAGGGAATATAAAGACCATTGTTTGAAAGGTCCCTATTGTTCAGAAAACTGTCATGCTTTGAATAATGGGCCAATGGTATAGAATGAAATGTTTTCTGGGATTTGTTTTAAAATATTCAACATATATTATCCATTAAACTATACAGTGTGAGGATTATGCTAGTTGGACCTTTCTAATGAGATCTGGCACATTGTATGTCCTTCAGTTAGAGAAAGAATTCAACAGAAGTTGCAGGCTACAACACAGAGATTAAGAGAGAAGTGGGATTGAGGATAGTGTTGTGGGTTCTTGAAAGAAGGCAGAACGTCCAATAGTGAGCAGGTTAATGGATTTCTGGTGGCTGGCATGGTCTCTGGTCCAGCAGGGGTTCTTTATCTCAAGTTGTCTACCTGTATTTCTGGATTGTGTGGCTGCATTTGAGCAGAAGATATGCATTCGATTTGGGGTTGAGGACATGGCTTTGGGAGTGGCAGCTGTCGAGTTGATGGGCAACTGTGTCTTTGGAGATGTGGGGATTGTGGAAGTTTCATGGGCTGGTGGCCTGGTTACCACCTCAAGACCCAGCTATACTTCAATTGTGTATATACCAAATGATACACCTCCATCTTATCACAAGAACAATTGCTCAACTAGGTTCTGGCTGTCTTGGACCTGATTGCATAGACTATTCTGGCATACAAGTCAGAGGCAGATATACCTGGACCTGACTTTGGAGTGTTGGGGTTAAAGTCATAAGACAATACACCGGGCTCTTCCATCTTATTTTCTTTCTGTAGTTAGTTATTGTTTATACATTTTCTCTCATGTGTACTCTGTACTGTTCATCAGGTTCCTTGTCTCTATGTTTGTTAATAGGCATTTCTCTTGTAAGGTGGTATCCTATTCAAGGGAACAGAAATGACAGAGGTTACTCTCCTATTCAGTTTCTTTCTAAAGTGATTTGGTGGTTACATTATAATCTGTATGTCAGGAAATAAGTATGAGGAGCACCAGAATTGTATGAATATACTGTCAAAGAAGTATACATTTATAATGTTCTCAGTATCATGCTTTCTGCTGTACATAAGTATGGGATCTTTTAGAATGCAGTGACCTATGATGATGTGCATGTCAACTTCACTTGGGAAGAGTGGACTTTGCTGGATCCTTCCCAGAAGAATCTCTACAAAGATGTGATGATTGAGACCTACAAGAACCTCACTACTATAGGTAATAGAGTGTATTTTCCTTCATGTTTTAAAATAAGGGGACAACTGTTTCTTGGTTTTGGATGTTCCTGTGTAATTTGATTGAGAAAGAAGAGTGAGGTGAATAAATCAGGCATGTTTCTAAGATTCACTGAAGATAGTAACATAAATTTTACAATGCTTTCAATTATATAAATTTTCTGGTACTCTATTTTAGGATACAGTTGGGAAAATCATAATATTGAGGAACATTTTCAAAATTCTAGAAGACATGTAAGGTAATTTTCTTGTGCATGATGATAAAAAAATACCTGAGAAGAAATTATATTGTGTCCCGGATATTTTAAACAAAAGCAGCAGTGTAAATAAGTACGACTTAAAGTGCATTGATGATTATTAAATTCTCACAACATCATAAACCTCAATTTCAGGTTGGTGAATTGCATTTGCAAGGCATTGTTTTAAGATCAATGTCAATGATACAATTTCTCAAAATTTACCACCATTAAAATCATAGCACCATGAGAGCTATGCTGCACAACTGTCTGTCTTTTTATTTCATAACATTCATATTACAAAATTTATACACAGTGAAGAGCTGATAAGTATATTGTTAAAGCTTTCTATTGAGCAAATAGTCCATAGTAAACTAGTGTAACTAATATACTTGTTGTGACTGTGCTGTTTAGTGACTGGGGCAGTTAGAGTCAAAAATCATGGGATGTTGTCGAGGAGAAACGTTAATCCCTATACCACAAGTGTATGAGGACAGAAAGTCAAACAGAATTCAATGTGGAAATCTTTTATTTGTTATTCTTCCTTTACGAGGTATATCATATGTCACTCTGGATACAAGCAATATGAGCATAGTGATATGGAAGTCATAATATACCTCATTCTCATAACAATGAGAAGATATGTAGCAGTCCCCACATTGAGTATACTTGTTGAATTTGATTCTAGTATAAATGTAATTGATTTTTTATCTTCATAGTTAATACATTAACAAACTCACACTACAGAGAAGCAGAATGAGTACTAGGATTGCATAAATAAAACATGGGTGTAAAAACAATGATGAAATCTTAAGATCTGATTCCTCTTTACAATTAGACCAAATTTAAATTTAATTCATAAAGATATAAAGAGTCAGCAGTGTAGTGATTATGGTAAAGATTTTACATGTGCTTGCAGGCATGAAAGAATTCAAACTGGAGAGAAGAAACCTTTCATATATACTGAATGTGGTAAAACCGTTGTATATGAGAGTCATCTTCAAAGGCATGGAAGTTCACTTATGGGAGAGAAACCCTTTCAATGTAATCAGTGTGTTAAAAGCTTTGCCCATAACAGTCATCTTCAAAGGCATAAAAGAACACATACTGCAGAGAAACTCTATGAATGTAATCAATGTGGTAAAGTCTTTGCCTATCATAGTAATCTTCAAATACATAAAAGAACACATACTGGAAAAAAACCCTATGAATGTAATCAGTGCGGTAAGGCCTTTGCACAGAACAGTACTCTTCAAATGCATAAAAGAACACATACTGGAGAGAAACCCTATGAATGTAATCAATGTGGTAAAGCCTTTGCTAGACATGGTCATCTTCAAATGCATAAAAGAACTCATACTGGAGAGAAACCCTATGAATGTAATCAGTGTGATAAAGCCTTTGCATATATCAGTAATCTTCAAGTGCATAAAAGAACTCACACTGGAGAAAAACCCTATGAATGTAATCAGTGTGGTAAAGCCTTTGCATGTAATAGTTATCTTCAAGTGCATAAAAGAAGACATACTGGAGAGAAACCCTTTGAATGTAATCAATGTGATAAAGCCTTTGCATGTAACAGTTATCTTCAAGTGCATAAAAGAACACATACTGGAGTGAACCCCTATGAATGTAATCAGCGTGGTAAAGACTTTTCACATCACAGTAACCTTCAAATGCATAAATGAACACATACTGGTGAGAAAAACCTATGAATGTAATCAGTGTGGTAAAGCCTTTGTATGTATCAGTAATCTTCAAAATCATTAGAAAAAACTCGTTCTGCAGAGAAACCTATAAGTATAGTCAGTGTGGTAAAGTTATACAAGAGTAAAACATTTGGTGTACAATCAGTCTATTAAAGCCTTTCTATACTACAAGAGTCTTTGACGATCGGAAAAAGATACTCATGGCATCGTATTATAAAGTACTTAGAAAAGTCTACAGCCCACACAGTTATAATCAGTTATAGAAAAGTATGTATTCTGTAGGTAAATATTTCACAGTGTCAACAAACTGTTCAAACATTATGTTGTCCATTTTTATATTGTTTGCACCAGTAAACTTAATGAAGAAAACCAAATTTATGAATTTTGAAAGCTTATGTGTAGGGTAAAAGGGCCAGCCATGGAAACACACTCTGACCCTGAAAATGGAGCCCATCAAAGACACATTTTTGGACCTGAAACCAGAGGAAGAAGCATGCCCCAACACTGAAACCAAAGTCAAAGAAATACAGGTTGTTTCTGAATCCAGAAGCAGGTATAGAAACACCCTGACCCTGAATTCAGACCAAAAGAGTTGAAAGGGGTTGGCTGGACAGATGGCTCAATGGTTAAGAGCACTGGCAGCTTTTCCAGAGGACCTGAAGACTCAAGTTCAATACCCAGCAACCACATGGTGGCTCACAACCATCTATAAGAGGATCTGATGCCCTCTTCACTCATGCAGGCATACATGTAGAACATTCATACATAAAATATAACTAACTAAATAAATAAAATTGTTAAAAGGGGCCAGTGAAAGAAACACATGTTAGACCTGAAACCAGAACCAAAGAAACACACTCTGCCCTTGACCAACTATGCACAAAACCAACCAATCCCTGAGTTTGAAATTAACCAATTCCTGAGCATAAAATCCAGCCAGTTTTTGAGTTTGTTCAAGCCCTGTGCCTGTTTAGGTGGCAGCTGCCTTTTTCCACCCTTGAAAAGGCAGCCAGTTTCCTGGATTCCTTCCTCCTAAATAAATCTCTTGAATGTGTTTTAAGTGGAGACCTTTAATTGAAGGAAATAAGAAACTCACTATTGGATTGGATTAGAGAAGAAATGGACACCTCTGCTGGCAAACTCCATTAGAGAAGTAGAGTATAACAGCTTTTCATCAGACTCTGTTATATTTCTGCAGCAATTTCCCCCTTACTTGAGTGAATCATAGAAGTAAGAATTTGGGCTGGAGCTGAGAAGAAATGGAAATCTCTGCTGGAAACACCCTAGTAGAGCAAAGAAGAGAAACATGTGATAGCTGTGCTTAAAATCTCCCTCAAAGGAGTGGAGCAGAGCAGCAATGGACATCTCTCCTGGTAAACTCTCTTAGCAGAGTGGTGCAGAGCCCAGTTGTAAGGGCTCCCTTTTGGAGAGAAGCCAAATTATGACATTCTGTGGGGAGACAATTCCCCCTGAAACAGAGGTTCAGATATGTCCTGACTTCATGATAGACAGGGTACCTTTTGCCTCTCAGCAATAGGTATCCAGGATATCTCCCTTCGCAGCTGAAGGTGGATCCTGACATCCAATAGTCAGTGTTCCTTTCTCTTCTGAGATATAAGTATCTAGGATACCTTCATTTCACAGCTTTAAGTATAGCCTGACTTCTGATAGGCTGGTTACCTTTCCCTCTAGAGCTGTAAAACTTGCACTATAAATTTAAATGATAATGAAACCCTTTTAGATTTTGTACTTGTCTTAAATTGTAATAAACATCTAATTCAGGTGTAAAACTTTATGGATTATTGTTAGTTCTTTTTCTGTTGTTGTGATATATTTCCTAGGTCAACTTATAAAAGAGTTTAATTTGACCCTTGGATCCAGAGGGATACAGGCTCACCATGACAGTGGCATGGCAACAAGTGTCAGACATGACAGCTAAAACAGGAGGCCATGAACTCACATCCTTAAACTTCACCCTGAAGCAGAGTGTGGGAACTGTGAATGGTGTGTGGATGTAATTCTCAAAGTCTCCCGCCAGTGGCATGTTTCCTCCTGCAGGGCAACATTTCCTAAAACTTACCAAATGATAAGATATGGAGTGACTTCCAAGTCACTCCACTACACTTAGGGTAGTGAGGTGTGCAAGGAAGTATCTATGGAAAGTAGGAAGACAGCAAGGTCTGCTCTTGGAGCCAGGAGCAAGTGGTATTGAAACGCATATCTCTGCTGATCTAGAAAATGTCTTTGTCTGGGGTGGAAGGCAGGGTCAGAAACCATTGTGCTGTGTCTTTAAGCACAGTGTAACCCTTAGTGAGGTGCTCTTGTCACTCAGGCCTCACCAGCCAATCAGGCACTCCAGGAAACTGTCCATCAGAAATTGTGCCGGGTCTTCCTGCCTCAGGCTTCAGGCTTGGCTTTGAAGAGAAGCTGGCACCAGTGGTTTTGTGTGCTGTGTTATGAATGCTGCTGCAGGGAGCTGAGCAGGGAGCGTGGGTGAGCTGGAAAACCACAACATGGTGAATGAGGGGCTGCCATCCCCAGACTGGGACTAGCAGTCAGGTGAGTCATGGGAGCCAGTATGTTGGGTCCTCTCCTGGCTGGCTGGGTGCATGTGGCCAGATGCAGAGTTTGTCATGTTCTTGCCTGGTCCTGCATGGTCCAGCATGATCCTGCTTGTCCTTCATGCTCCAGTGTGGTTCAGCGTGGTCCTATGTGGTCTTTGCAATTTCTGTGGCCAGCTATTACCCTCTGCATAGCTTCACTCCACCAGCAGTATCTGTGTAGAGCTTTAGAGTGGGACTGTGCTTTGAAATATCCTTGTTGACATCCCTGTGAAATGCTGGTGCCCTTAGTGCTTATGTTGCTGCTATAGAACACAGACTTGACAAACTCAGAACCCCCTGGTTCATCTCACATCTCCCAAAAGTTCTGCACTTTGAAATTTAACATTAAGGTTTAGGAAACAACTGGTGTTTGTGAAGGGGCCCCAAAATAGCTTGACCACACAGCAGCTATGACAGGTGTAGGGGCCTAGACATGGCTTCTGAGACAGGCTTACTGGCAGGCAACATCCATATGCAGGAAAAGCCTCTAGCAGATACCACCCAGGGATCCACCCAGGGATGAGGAAATTCCTAACATTCCTACCATAAGGTGGCCAGATGTCCTTGAGTGTAGCACACACCTATTTTTGTTTAACAGATAGACCTAGACATTTGTCTGCCAATCAGCATCCTAAACCCAGGAAATCCCCTCACCCCTACCTCTGCTTTGATTAAAAAAAAATCACACCCTGCCTGGGCTCAGGGCTCTCTGCTCTCACTGCTGCTTTTGACAGACAGAGGAACTGAGCCCCATAGCTTGAATAAAGGCTCTTTGATTTTACACATGGGATTTGGTCTCTGTGATGGTCTTTAAGGGGTCCCTGTGATCTAGGCATAACAGAGTTAATTTTGTGGAGCTTGTAAACAGTATCTTCTGTGTCAAGTAGCACTCCACTGCTAACCTGTGATGTAAAAGAGTAGAATTGATGGTAATAGAATTGATGTTATAAGGGCTTCCCAGTTCTTAGGAGACATCGAGTCACAAAGTAGAATTTAGGAAAGGGAGGGCTGCATCCCAGCATCCCAAAGATAAGTAGTATGCTAACCATACCTGTTAGAGATTAGTAAAATAAGATGATAGTGTTTGTTTCCCAGGAGTAACCAGCTACATTCCCATAATAAAGGGGACAACCTTGATTTATAACCAGCAGAAAGGCCCATTCCCTCCATTAAAAACCTGGCCTCTAAATGCTTCTCCAGTGACTATTACAAGGTTACAGCCAACAATAAGTCCTGGTGTGCCACAAAACTATGTTAATTTTAGAACAGGGTCATCTCTAGTCTTTTTGAAAGGCAGTTTTGAGCCAAGGCCTTCTGTGTTGATTGAGGTGGACTTGAACCCTGTCTGTAGCACCACAGGGCATTTCCCTTGCTATCTTCCTGACTAACTAATCCTCAATCTTGGTTTATACATCTGCAGCACTACAGAGTTCTAAAATTACCAGTCTGAGTCACATAGTGGACTGTCCATTGTAGAACAGGGAAAGGATTTGTGTGTGGAGCATGGCTCCTCCCTTCAGGCCAGAAGAGGTGGAACAGTATACTGTGTTCACTGTAGGGGGAAACAGAGTAGACAATAGATAGATCATCGACTGAAGTTGAAGGCAGTGAGCTGCAGGGGTCTCCATTACACTGAAGGATTGGTGTGGCATGGTGAGTGACTTTCTCTGTAATTTTCCTGCATGAATTAGTTTTTTCCAGGTGAATGAAGACAGACAGAATTGATGGGTGTACAGTTTTGGGAGGATAGTTACTAAGTATTTAGTTTCCAACAGCAAACTCTCCCATGAAGACGTGTGCAATCCTGGTTGACACAGTTAAGTTGGCTTAGAGTTTTGAGGCACAGGCCATTGGCTGTAAATCTGTGTCAGCTTACAGCACTCAGCAACTAATAATTTACATGAGACAAAGTCATACAAAGTCTTACTAAAGGCATTTTCTTTAACAGGAAAGTGACTACTCTTTTTCTTTTTCTTTTTTTTTTTTTTTTTTGGTTTTTCGAGACAGGGTTTCTCTGTGTAGCTTTGTGCCTTTCCTGGAACTCGCTTGGTAGCCCAGGCTGGCCTCGAACTCACAGGGATCCACCTGCCTCTGCCTCCTGAGTGCTGGGATTAAAGGCATGCACCACCACCGCCCAGCGTGACTACTCTTTTTCAACATCAGCATAGCCTATTATTCCTTCAATTCTTTTTATCATTTTAAAGTCAATTATTGGTATCATTTTAAAATTTTATTTTCTTTAAATGAATTACTGCTCTAATCAATATTTGTTTCTATTTCCTAATGTGTTCTTAAGTCACTAAAAATTTCATTCTATTTTTTGTTAAGTGTAAGTTAATTAATTAATTAAGTTAACTAATTAATATCAGCTTAAAATAGTAGTCCTCCATCTGGGAATTACGACTCCCTTTGGGGGTGTCAAAAAACCCTATCACAAGGGTTGCTTAAGACCATCAGAAAACACAGTTGTTTACATTATGATTCATAACAGTAACAAAATTATAGTTATGGGGTAGTAGTTAAAAGAATTTTATAGTTGTGGGGGTCACTACAATGTGAAGAACTGTATTTTTTTTTTTTTTTTTTGGTTTTTCGAGACAGGGTTTCTCTGTGTAGCTTTGCGCCTTTCCTGGAACTCACTTGGTAGTCCAGGCTGGCCTCGAACTCACCGAGATCCGCCTGGCTCTGCCTCCCGAGTGCTGGGATTAAAGGCGTGCGCCACCACCGCCCGGCAGTGAAGAACTGTATTAAAGGGTCACAGAATTAAGAAGATTGAGAACCACTGGTCAAATCTTCTGTAGCTCAGGTTTCTCTCACAATACATAATTGAAACTTGTTTAAAAATTTAATGCTGACTCTGCTGCCTAGTCTTGGAACTGCCTCCAGGCAGGGCCTAGGCTCGTATGTGAAAACAAAGAATGAAAGGTTGAATGAGTTTCCTCCAATCTCTCTGACTTTTATTGGGAACTTAAAATGAAGAGGTTCTGTGCAAGAATTGAGTTCACAGATGAAGAGTAAAGCCAGGTTTATTCACAGTACAGCAAGGGAGGGCCAAGAGGAGTTTCAACATTCCTACTCTGACAGTAGTTGATATGAACAATGAGAGGTGAGGTATTAATTTTTTCATGATGTCATTGTTTTAACAGTTGAGTAATATTACATTATATAAATGTACCACATGCTCTTTATACATTCTTCACTTCAGGGATATCTTCACTATTTTTTAGTTCCTGGCTATTATGAATAAATCCTCATAAATGAACGTAGTTGAGCAAGAGTTCCTAGGGTAGGATGGAACATCCTTTGAGTATATGCCCAAGAGTGGTATAGCTGAGTCTTGAGGTCAATAGATGCCCAGTTTTCTGAGGAACCATGGTATTGATTTCCATGGTGCCTGTATTAGTTTTCACTCCTACACACAGTGGGGTTGTGTTGTCCTTGCTTCACTTCCTCATTAGCATGACATGTCACATGGGTTTTTCATATTTGCCATTCTTACAGGTCTAAGATGGAATCTAAAAGTAATTTTGATTCAAATTTCCCTGGTGGCCAATGATGTTAAACATTTCTTCTAGTGTTTCTTTGGTATTTGACATTCCTCTGTTGAGAATTCTCTGTTTAGATCCATACTCCATTTTTTTTAATTAGTTAGATTTTCACGGGTAGGTACATGTATTTTTCCTGGTTGCAGCTCACAAATAAATACGCTGAGGCTTATATTTACAAGTGCTCAGCCTATAGCTCAAACTTGTGACTAAATAGCTCTGATAACAGAAATTAAACCATTTCTATTCATCTATGTGCAGCCCAGAGGCTTGTGGCATTTACCTTTCTGGCGTGTCTTAATTCCTTTCTGTCTGATTGGTGACTCCTCTGTCTCTGAACTCTTTTTCCCAGAATTCTCCTAGTCTGACTCTCCCTTCCAACATCTTCCTGCCCAGCTATAGGCCAGTCAATTTGTAATTAACCTGTGAGAGTACTACATATTCACAATGTACAGAAGGATTATTCCATAGCAATCAACATCTTGTTTTTTGAGTTCTTTGCATATATTGGAGATTTGGCCTCTATTGGTTATGGAATTGTTAAAAATCTTTTCCAATTCCTTAAGCTGCCTCTTTAATTGACTATGTCCTTTGCTTATAGAAGGTTTACAGCTTCATGAGGTCCCATTTATTAATTATTGACCTTAGTGCCTGAACTCTTGGTGTTCTGTTCAGAAAGTTGTCTCCTGAGCCAGTGCATTCAAGGCTTTCCCCCCACTTTGTCTTGTATCCTTTTCAGTGTGTCTGGTTTTATGTTGGGGTTTTTGACCCACTTGGACTTGAGTTTTGTTCAGCATGATGAAAGTGGATCTATTTGAATTTTTCTACATGCAGAAATTCAGATTAACAGGCACCATTTGATGAAAGTGCTGTCTTTTTATCCTTTTCATATTTCTTATTTTCGTTATCAGAAAGCAGGTGTCCATATGTTTATAGATTTATGTCTGGGTCTTAAAAACTTGATTCCATTTTTCAACTTGTCTTTTTTACTGACAAAGCCATGTTGTTCTTTTATTGTTCAAGATTGGTTTAGCTATTCCGTTCTTTTGGTTATTCATATGAATCTGCAAACTGTCTTTTCAAGGTGTTCAAACAAATGTGTTTGAATTTTGATGGAGATTGTGCTGAATCTTTACATTGCTGTTGGTAGGGTAGCCTTTTTACTGTGTTAATCCTACTGATCCATGAGCATGGGGGGGATCTATCCATCTCCTGATATCCTCTCCAATTTCTTTCTCCAAATACTTTGAAGTTTTGATCACACATGTATTTCACTTGCTTGGTTAGAGTTACTTGAACATGTTTTATAATATTTGAGGCTATTGTGGAGGGTGTTTCCCTTAATTCTTTCTCAGTCAGTTTGTCACTTTTTAGAAGAGGGATACTGATTTTTTTTGTTACCCTTGTATCTAGCCACTTTGCTGAAAGTGTTAATCAGCTGTAGTCCCCTTGTTGGAATTTTATTGTCACTTAAGTATACTATCATATCATCTACAAATAATAATACTTTGAATTTTTCCTTTCTAAATTATATCTCTTTTATGTCCTTCGGTTGTTTTTTTGGTCTATCTAGAACTTCAAGTACTATATTGAGTGGCTACGGAGAGTTCACAGCATTGTCTTG